TTAGCATTTCAGACATATGTAATCCCTGTTACTCTTGCTGGATCCAACAAATATGTAGGAATTTGTATTAGAATTCGATTTTCGTGTAATATTCATATTCAACATTAGTCCTTTCATTTTATAACCACGTATCTACCTAGGGCCTCAGTGGAGCTGGGCTCTGTCTTCTTCATCATTAAATCTCTGATTGCTTCCATTTCCATTGTATATCAGATACTTTAAAGGTAAACTGTTTTATATGTTACATTCAAATCCTTAAAGATAAGCAGCAGATAGATCATAGCTCCAAACTACTCACCGCACAGTAAGTGGTGATAGAGGTACAAAAGCGTCTCCCTCAGGAGACTCAGGAAAGCAGGACTCTCCACACTTCATCTGACAACTTTCTACAGAGGCACCATTGAAAACATCCTGACACAAAGTTTTACAGCTTGGTTTGGCAGCTGCAAGTCCTACGAGAAGCATCAACTTAATAGGATTGTTAGGACTTCCAGGAGGATTGTTGGTGCCCCTCTCTCACCACTGGAGGAGATCTACAACCAGCGCTGCACACGCAGAGCTATCTCCATCATCAGAGACTCCAACCACTCCTGGTGGTTCAGCAGGTAAGGGGTGTGATGTTGAAATCCCAGGTGGACTTGTTGGTATCTCTGGAACAACACAGTCCATAACCCCGAAGTTTTGGATACACACAGCGTCTCCCTCCGAAAAAACACAAACAGGTTGGGTTCTGTGATCGTGGTGTTGCTTCTGCTCACTGTTTCTGTTCAATGTGTCTGGTTAGTTCAGGCTTGAGGAGGCTGAAACGAGTCCGGATCTGACGTTTCAGGAACAACTCTGCTGGTGTACGACCCGTCACAGTGTGCGGTGTACTGCGATACATGATAAGGAATTTTGCCAATCAATGACTGAGTGGCAATGTGGCCTTACCATCTGCTTCCAGCACATTCTTCATCAGGGGTCGTTTCAGGATTTTTACTGACCTCTCTACTGCTCCGTTTGATGCAGGATGATAGGCAGGTACAGCTGTGTGTCTGATCCCATTTAACTCCAAAAACTGATTGAACTCCTTTGACACAAGTTGAGGTCCATTGTCTGAAACAAGTTCTTCTGGAAGTCCATATGAAGCAAATAACCCTCTCAAAACCTCAATGGTGTTGTGTGAGGTAATGGATGACATAGGGAACACTTCCAACCATTTTGAATGACTTTCAAAGACAACTAAAACGTTCTGCTTGTCTTTTTCAGCAAAATCAATGTGAATCTGTTGCCAAACTCTCTCAGGCCACTTCCACGGATGGAGTGGTGCAACGGGTGGTGACTTCTGGACAGCCTGACAGACTGAGCAGCTTTGAACCAGTTCTTGTATATCACTATCGCAGCCTGGCCACCACAGGTAATTGCGGGCAAGTGATTTCATATGACAGATGCCTGGATGTTCATGATTCAGGTCTTCCAGCACTTCTGGAAGACACTTTTCCAGCTAGCTTTGGCCCTAGTATAGCCAGCAGTGGCTTGAGATCTGTTATGAGGGTGAATTTCCTTCCATACAGATATTTATGGAATTTCTTGACTCCAAAAATTATGGCAAGGGCCTCTTTTTCTATCTGGGCATACTTCCGCTCAGCTTCAGTTAATGTCCTTGATACAAATGCCACAGGCCTTTCCTCTCCATTTTCCATGACAGCAGAAAGGACCGCGCCCACCCCGTAAGGTCACGCATCACAGGCTAACTTCAATGCCAGATTTGTGCTGTAGTGCACCAACACGTTGTTCTGCAGCAGTAGACTTTTTGCATCTTTAAATGCTTTTTCACATCCCGTGGTCCAAATCCATTTAGCATCTTTTCTCAACAGGTTATCCAAAGGCTGAAGAATGGTGGACGGATTTTCCAGAAATTGACTAAGTAATTTGGAAGACCCAGGAAAGTAGGGCTGGGCCATATCATACCGTTCACGGTAATACCGGTATAATGTTGGGCAACGATAAGAAAATGAAATATCGAAAATCCAGAGACAGAGCCCCTTATAATCCTGTGTTCCTTATGTATGAACTCTGGTTGTGTTTACTGACCTCGAAACGATTTTATGTACACGGCGCTCGAAAATCTGTCAGATGTTTCAGTACGACTTTGCTAAGCTACGAAGCCGCACCGCTTGATGGATTGTTGGAGCATTACGGCTATCGTAGGCGGAGCCTCGTGGAGCGATACGTACTGTGCTTCAACATATTCATCAATATTACTGTGTTGTGTGTGTATGACCTCTTTTTAAGTTTTGTGGATATTATACATGGTTATGCTGAGGATATGTCAGCAAGGAATTTGCATTTGCACTGTTACATTTTTATATAACTTTAATGCACATAAAACAGCTGCTTGTTTAAGTGAAAATACATTTATGGGTTTTTCTGTACTTGTTGTTGTAAAGTATTTTGTCTAGTGTCAATTATATCGTCATCGAACATTTACAAATGTATATGCCATCCATCCATTCACTTCCGCTTATCCTTTTCAGGGTCGCGGGGGGCGCTGGAGCCTATCCCAGCTGTCATAGGGCGAGAGGCG